TCCAGAAAACCTCTAAGGGTGATTCATAGAAACCAATAGACACATGACCTTTTTTATGGCAAACATGTAGCAAAGGCAAGGCCTGCACACCACAAGCTTTACTAGTACTTGCGCTGCTAGAACCAACCCAGAAGCCTTACTCCTTTTTGCCCTCCTGTACACAATCCCCATAGCCACCAGAAATTATTCCAGGGGTGGTTCAGTTCTGGTAGAGGCCTAGAATAGTATCACCTCCCCTGTTTGCCTCTATACCTAACCCTCCTCCAACTATGCCTCTCCCAAAACCCATCACAAAATCCTTAAACCTCAAGCTTTCCCAACCCCTTGATGAGGGAACCCCTTGATTGTAAGTTTTTGAACTTGAGCCAGCTGCCATGATGAGATATGGTGAGCGTGCAAACCAATTCCGACCAAATACTATTCCAGGGTACCGTCCACATTCCGACCTTATTATTCCACGGTACCATCGACCCACACCAACATCAACATGGTGGTTTTAATACTCCTAAAAAAGAAATATTCTGAAAAATTATTCCTGGAGGTGACCCTACCCTGGAATAATTTATGACGGGAGGGCCCATTCATAAACTCTGCGTGCTGCTAAGAGTGGAACGACGTGACTGCCAAGATCAAGTGATTGCCTAACAGCAAAGATTACTGTTGTTAACCTTCTTTCTTGCGTTCCCTTTCACTCTTATTAGCCACGAGAAACAAAGGGCTGAGAGACGCACTTCTCAACTTTCCTGGTGAGCTCTTGTCACGTCGTCCCGCCCTTTCCTCTCCTCCACATGAACTCCAACCCCTCATCCAAAGCCCAACTCCCTGGATAGCTCTGAGGGGTGCCCTTTGCATCCAGTAAACAGCCCTCTTCACCATAAAAAGGCGCTCGCCCAAGCAACTCAAAGGTTGCTGACTGCGTTCTGTTCCCTCTCCTGTCCTCAACGGGTGACGACTCGTTCACGAGGTGCCCAAGTGGTGCCTTTGTCGGCCTCGAGGAAAAGAGTTGCGCAAGGTCTAGGATCCGGGATGATGCGCTTCCGGGGAAATCACAGCAGGAACGCCACCGCCCTGGCACACCGACCGCAAGGTTCGTCCAATGGCATGGCCACATAGCCGATGAAATCCGCACACGCCCTGAGCCAGGCCACGGCGTAGATCGATTTCATATAGATTTGGATGCGTCTGCCGCGCTTCACGCGCTGACGAATCATTGATGCCCTCGTGCCCAGCGCACACCGAGCCGCCAACCTTAGTGGCGATGCCAAGAAAACCCGCGTTTTCAAGGAGTCCACCTGCGCCGCTCCACCTCCGCCTTGGCGCGTCACCTTCTGAATCCTTGTCTACCAAGTCAGCGCAGGCAAAGACTCGCCACCACTACATACAAGTTTGGTACTTTGGCTCCTTCTTTGGCGAATACACCTGTTTTGAGTACTGGACCGCCGTATGCATGTCAGACTTCTCAGACATTTGATCCTTTGCAAGTGAGAGATCCTTGGCAGAGCTGGCATTCTGGCCCTGGAAGCCAGCGAGATGTGACACAGGCGCTGTGGTCCGAATGGTCAAGAGCATCGCAGATGTGCGCAAGGGCATACTGGATCAGCCCCAGTTCTTTTGAGGGCTTGGGGCTGGCAGGTCGTAGTCTTCTCGCAGCATTTTGCAGGACAGCAAGAAAGAAATTGCCGGACTTCAGAGCCAAGTCCTTCTGCAGCTTTTCTCTTCCAACCGATCCTCTGGTTCCCAACGATCCGCTGGATGAGGAGCCCTGCCCGTCTAGTAGTGGATCGCCACCCTGTTGCATGTGAGCCACAAGGGTCATCAAAGCTTTGCTCTGCTCCAGCATAGCTCGTGCAAAAGGATCGGTCTGAGCTATTGGACTGGTCTCCTCTGCGTAGGTCTGTGGAGGCACATTTCCATCCAATCCAGAAGTGACTGTAGGAAGGACAAGAGGCACAGCAACTAGCCCCTTTGTCCGAGGCGGTGACCCCATCATCTTCACAAAATTGGCCACTCCTTGGACCTTGCTCCCAACCGGCAATTGGCTCGCTCGTGGAGGGGGCGAGGTCCTTTGCTGCGCAAGAGAGTCTTGAAGAGCGTTCTGTCCCTTCTAAGCTCGGAGATCTGATCCACCATAGATGGCACCAACTCCATATGGCTTGACAGCTGCTTGGTCAGAGCTGCAGTGGTCACCCTCTTCTTTGGGGCATCTTTTGCCTTCTGCTGACCCCTTGGCATATGTGGAGTCATACCCCGCGCCAGCTCCTCCCTGGAGGGGAGAGCCAGTCCTGGACCAATTCGACCAGTAGAGAAGGATCTGGAATGATGTCCAGGTCTTCGCCAAAGCCTATCAAGCCTTGATCTTCTGTTTCTGGTAGCAGGGACTCCATATGAGTATTGAGGCCGACCAGGTCCGTCTCGGAAGGGTCGACCGGAAGCGGGCCTGCTGGGACCAAAGCGGTTGCATTCCAACTAACACTCCTCCTCCAGCAGCTTGCCTCACCATAGCAATCAAACAAATTCCTGGCCTGGCCTGAACCAGCATGGGATCTGGCGGCCAAAATGTGCCGAAGAGCTCCACATTCTCGTGCACCAAAGGAACAATAGCTCCTAGCTCCATCGATACAGCTTCTCAGGGTAAGGGATGTTGAGGGCCAAGCAGTAGACCTTTGCCTCAGCCTTCGATGCAAAGCCGTGTGAGATGCTGACACTTGGGGAGCCACTGAAGTCCCCGAGCAGTGCATTGTAGTCGGATGCCTTCTCCACCCGCACAGGCTCAGTGATGCCTTCTGCGCGCACGACCACGTAAGTGGTATTGGCCAAATCACAGGGAGTGCTTGGTCGGGGCTTGCTGACCCGGCCTTCCAAACAAAATCGGGCCCAATGCCCTGCAGTCCAAGCTCGCTCTGCCCTCTGCTTGAATGACAGCTTGCCTCCTCTAAGGTTACCACACAAACGAAGAGCCTCGCCAGACACCTCAGGAATTTCCAATGCCAAGGCGTTATAGGTGGAGGAGTTGGAGGATGTCCTGGATGCGCTGGGGCCAGGTGCCGCTGAGACAAGCTCAAATTCCTGCCGAGCCGTGATGCCTCTCACTGTTCTCAAGCTCGACCACCTTCCGTTCAAGGATGTCCACTCGGATGAGCAGCTGCTGAACCTGAAGCTTGAGCAAGTCCAAGCAGGGTCACTCATACAAGTAACTAGGCCTGGATTCGAGAGCCAGGATATGTGCCGGCGGAAGGCCGGGTCACAAGAGGGACCGAGGACGGTCGAGGAGCGAAAGGAAGCAAGCCCAGCTGAAGACCCAAGGCACAGGCAAGTCCAAAGCCAAGGAACAGGCCAAAACCTAGGCCAGCAAGAAGGGAGAGTCCCAAAGCAGTCCTAGCAGGTGAACCGCAATGAGCTGGACAGCTCAGCCCCCACCAGTTTGTTTCCACTCCTGGCTTCAGAAAGTCGAGGAGTGACGTGACCGAGGCATGAAATCTTGAGCGGAAAAGATTCGGTTGGTCGCTTTCCTACACATCCAATCTTGCTGCCTCCGAACCGCGAATTGCTGCATGTCTTAAGCCTCCACACGCATTCGGCCCGGTAATGTTCGCTCCAGTCTCAGCAGCCTGTATCACCTGAACAACGTGTTGATTAATGCTGAGTGACGACACTTGGGAAGCGGTCGGCCAGATTGGACTTTGGCCTCACCATTGTCAAGATCGATAGCTGCGAGGGTGGCTTGAGCACCCACCAGTGGATCCTTTCCAAACAATCTGACAACAATACTTTCCAGCATCAAGAGTGAAGCCCAAGTTGCAATGAAAGAGGTCCCATCCTTTACAACAACTTTAATGATAGTATACACACTCCCCTGTCCTCTGCTTTTGTCCGCCACGCGGATTGCCGTCGAGCCTTTAGATCGCAACAGCCCTCCTGGCAAACAAAGTGCGAAATGGAAGGTCGCAGAACTTAGCTGGCTCTCCGGGTAGTTGTCTTGGTTGGTTAGTTAGCTGGTCGGGCCAAAGGAAGGTGGTGTGATCATGGACACCTCAACCTTTCACCCCTCTTCCTCGCAAACTCCACCATTTTGCGTAGCTTGTGACAATGAGTGCAAATTGCATGCTTCGAAACATGGGGAGATTGCTTAGCATGACCCCATGACTGACGGCCCTTGTGTCTACCACCATGCTGGTGGCAGAAAACCGCCTGGAATCTAGAATAACGTTCTGCTTGACAGCGAATACAAAATAAGTTGATCGATTCTTTACAACGAACACCCGAATCATTTTGGCAGGGTTGAATCAAATCACGTCAAAAGCTTGTAGTCTGCTTGGTCTGTTTGTCCAACTGCCTGTCTATATACATACTGTATGCGTCTGCCTTTGCATCTCCTGCTCTGTGTCTCACGCTTGCTCCCACTCTGTATTTCCATATCTCTATCTCTCTCTCTCTCTCTCTCGTCTTCTCTCACCTCCGTTCCCTCATGTTTTTGCTCCACCTCTTCTTTCACGGGTTGCTCTGCTTACAGCTCGCCTTTTCAACTGTTGCCTGGTTGGGTGCCACAGCTTGCAGCTTTGCCGGCGAACAAGCTGCTGCCTGCAGTGCTGTGACATAGGCTGAACTTTGGTTTGATGCACTTGAAAGCTCACGGCAACACTGTCAATAAGAATGACAAACCCAACCCCTTGCCAAAATCATCCAAAATCCAACAAAATCAAGGTCACTGCCTGAAGCTCTTCCTTCAGGCGTTGCTGCTCTTCGTTCATTTGTCCCAATGCACGTTGAGCTTCCCGCCGCAGCTGCTGCAATCGCTCGGATCGTTCCTGCTGTCTTTTCCACTGGACAAAAACACAAGTCAAGTAAATGCAGGGCCGCGCGAGACGTGGAACATGAAGAAACACGCTAGCCAAGATTGCAAAACTCCGCTGTCCCTGCTGCACTCTGTGAGTCCTGCACTTGTCTTGCCCGACTCTGCAACTCTGCCAGTTGCTGAGCCGACTTTTGCTGGGCCTCACTGAGCTCGTAAACTCATAAAGCGAGGCACACTGAATGGCTGGAGGGCCAGCAAACTGCTGGAACACTTTGGGCCTGGCAGCCCAAGCTCCATTGAGAGGCCCCCAAATCCAAACCATTGTTGCAAAGGAAAGCACGTCGATGTCGATCCCCGAAGCCCAAGCCAGGGACTCTCTTGAAAATAAATAGACGTTCCATGCAGTGGTTTCACAGGAACAATGTTAGTACATGGCCACATCACAATGTGCTTGGCATCGAACTAAACACAAAATCTTGTCTCAAGGTATCACTGAGGCTGTCCATTTTGATTTTGTGTAGTAGCGCATGATGGTCATCGTTGTTTGGTGGGAGTATGTGGGATTATGTTGTTTCCGCTGTAGCCGAATAGATAAGGGCATCTAGAAGGCTAATGACGAATCATCCCATGGTTCACTAGCTCGCCTTCAAACTGTAGAGCCTTATGTACGTATAGTAAACTATGTCTTGGCACAGTCTGCGCCTCCGCGGCATGTGCTACTTCTTGCCGCAGCTGAAGCTGCTCCACTTCCAGCTCTTCACATCGCCCAAGGAGATTCCGAAACTCCTGGGAGTTCTTTTAGCGCGCGTGAGGGTAGAGCCGCTATAGTAAGAGGTAAGCTAGTTAGTAGCTGTTGAGTAGTAAGCTATTGGAAACTGGACGCAGGATAGCTCGGATAGCTCATGCACTATTAATGTGGTTCCTGGATGTTTTGGAAAACTTAACAAGTCAGGACAGGCTCCCTGCACCCCTACATTTTGGCGCCCCTCCTGCTCTGAAGCTGAATGACGTGCTTGCAAATCTTCATGAGCCAATGTTACTTCTTCCAGCTGAAGGGCCTGAATAGGGTTTGGCTTTGTGAACACAACTCCTCGCCTCTACGCTTCTCGACAATTTATCCTCGTCACACCTTTGCACTGCGAAATGTTGCCCTTCGTTTTGTGTCCACCTCTGCTCTTAAAGCATCCATTTCGCTGGCTAGCTTGGTTTTCTGTTCTTCTGCATCGTGGCGCTTCAATCGCTCCTCTTCAACCTTGCAGGCCAAGTCAGAAACGATAGAAGAAAAGGCTAAAATCCAAACCTGCTGGCGAGTCTTCTGCAGCTCGCGGGCTAGATTCTCTACCTCGGAATGGGCATTGATTCCACAAGAAGCCAGGACTTTCTCGACATCACATCTGCATCACAAGTTTGATCCATTTGCTGCTTTGCTGTCTTGGGGCTGCATGTCGCTCTTCATCTAGCTTCCGCTGCGACACCAGTAGGTCAGCTGTCAATTTGGCCTTGCTTTGCTGCTCCTGAACGGCCATTGCGTCAGCAAACGACCCTCATTGCTCGTGGCTAAGCCGCTACGCCTGACTAGACAAGCCACCTGAACAAGAAGATCTTGCGCAAAGCAATGTTCAACCAGCCGTTCTGCAACGTGCTTTGGATCAGGCGCTGTTGCTGGAAATTCGCCTGTGCAGCGAAAGCACCACTTGCAGTAGAACACCGGTGTGTCGAAGCACATCTTATGCGCCTCCAGCACCTTGAAAATCGTGTTGAATATCCTTATGTTCTTCGTAGACCAACTTGTACTGAACTCGTGGGCCCGATGCAATTCCATCCTGCAATAGAATGACACTCCTCTTTCTGATGGCTTGTTCTGAACTGAATCATTCTCGACCTATATTACCTATATATAATAGTTTGTGTCCTGATGTTTCCTGTATCACACTGCCATCTCAATGTGCCTCCGGAGGCTTCGTAAGCGATAACACATCACCATGGGCAAGCTGCTGCCGTTCTCCCTTCTGCAATTTCACATCATTCACAAAGCTGCCATTTGTGCTGCAGTCCTGGGATCACAAGTACTGCAAGCACAGCAAACACACCAGAACACGTGAGGAACTTGCCTCAAACACCGGGGGGCCAGAAGCGCTGCAATGAAGAACACAGTGAGTACCGCTGACCTCGAAAAAGGCGACATCATTAGAGCGCTAAAATATGATGATTCCAAACGATTTCCGTCACATTGCCACAGGCTCCAATCCAGCCTGCTTTGCCCCTGCTGCAACTTTAAACTGGGTTGCGGTGACGATTCAAAAACTGACCAAGTCACCGCACGGTCCTGGCAAACAAGGAAGTTGTTTGGCCTCCGCCTCCCCAGGGAATTGCGAGGAGTAAGAAGAACCACATGCCTTTTTGTCCTGAACTGGTCTGAAACACTCTATGCCATCGACCCCGACACTGATTCAACTGTTACACCCTGCCCGATTGAAGCGTCACCATCACAGGGCAGCGGCACTGGATCTTCTGCAGCATGGAGGGCAAGCAAACGCCACGGCATGGCTGCAAAGGTGTATATATATATATAAGTGCGTGAGATCGCTCGCAAAGGGCCGATCTAAACAGCAGTTAAATTTTTGTTATACATATATACATGTATATATATATATATGTAAATGTATATATATATACAACTGCTACCCTTTTCCAGGAGTGTTGCTTTTTCTGGGAAAAGAACACACTTGCACCCCCCGACCTCATATAGACTCTACACGCCAAGGGGAACACTGCTTGCGAGCGAAAGGCCAGTAGCAACTCAGTAGCAGCGCACAGAAAAAGACTGAGATAAACAAATGCAGTTTTAGCCCCCAAACGTTTCTATACAAGGTGAAACGTGGGCACGGACATTCAAAAGGTCAAGAGGTGCGCGGCATCAGCCTCAGCTCAATTGATTCCAATGTTTGGTCTTCAAAAATTGAGGAAAAGTTATGCCAGCATAGACCCCAATCAGTGTCAGTGTCCTGTTGCGTCAACTTCTTCAATTCCAATGTTGCTGGCGACGTCGGTAACTATATCCCTGAAAGCTCCAGCTGCTTGGGAATGGCATGTAAGCCAAGATATGCCTGAAAACAATTGAGAACAATAATAATAATAGTTCCTGATTCCCGGAGGTCATGAGAGAAGACATCAAACCCTCCAATCGCTGTATCACTGTTGCACCCATAGCCACACAAAGACATACCCAGACAAGGTGGTGGAAAAAGGGAAAGCTGGACAAGGCTTGGACAAGGCGGTGGTAAAGGGCCGACAACGCGGACAAGCACCAAAGATTGTGGCCAGCATATTTTTGCCTAGGAAAAAACCCTACAGTAACTTGAGAAGAGGGAGACACGAAAGGTAGGACAGCGGGAGGAGAATAAACATGTAAAATCCGCCCGCACGGAAGGTGTTCAGGGCGTGATCATCCGGATGGCATAGACAAATGTAAGGTACAGGTTTGCCTGGGGGGGGCATGCTTTGGTGAAAACAATGGGTTTTTAATAGGTCGCGACGGCGGACTTCAAAAAACACTGAAATTTACAGCACGGAATGGACTAGTTCATGCACGCGCCCGCCCGGAACCGACAAGAGAAAAACCTTGTGTTTTTTGACTGGTCTTCGATTTTGACGGTTTTCGCCGTTTTTGTTGGGCAGAAAAATTGGTTTTTGCAGTGTTTTTGTACATTGCCGAAGCTTGAGTTCTTTGCACAAAAATGTTTTTTTTAAAAAATCTCGCAAATAACTGTGTTTTTGGCGACCATGTTGTTGAAAACGTCGCAAGTTGCGGGGTTTTTTGACAGCAGGTTCAAAAACACTGTAAATAGCGGTGTTTTAGGCCACGGCAAGCTCAACTCAAAAACCTAGCTATTCGCCGTTTTTGTTGGGCAATTGTTTCATGGCGGTGCGGGCGGACCTTGCCGCGGAGCGGCGTGAATATGCAGTGTGGTATTAGTGGAGTCGAGGCAAACGTCAACTTGAGAATGGAGGAAAAAAACAAAGTTTGAGTGTATATATATTCTTTATAGATACAGTTACATGATAGTCCTCAACAACAAGAAACACCAAGAACAACATGTCATGTCTCTTCATGGACTCAAACACTGCCCCAAGCTTAGGGTGCTCAACACCATCGAAGTGTCGAGGTGATCCACTTCGGGATGAAGCGGTCAGGGGGAGGGGGGGGTTGTATTGAAAAATCAATTCCAAGGGGAGGGTGAATTGAACTATCAATTATTAGATCCGGAGGAGCCCACACTTGCTTCGCAACACAAACTCTCAAGGTATCCCCTGAAGGGCTACCTTACTGCCCCAAGCTTAGAGTGCTCAACACCATCGAGGTGTCGAGGTGATCCACTTCGGGATGAAGCGGTCACGGGGAGGGGGGGGTTGTATTGAAAAGTCCATTCCAACGGGGGGGTTGAATTGAACTATCAACCATGTCCGGAGGAGCCCACACTTGCTTCGCAAGACAAACTCAAGGTATCCCCTGAAGGGCTACCTTTCGTGAACTGTTGTTTGGGGAATAGGCAAATAAAAAAAGACCGTTGGGCATGGAACATCGCAGGCAAGTCCACTAACAAGTGCCGTGACGTCGCCAAATAATGATTTTTTGAAACTGAAACCATGCAAGCATCACCACACGGCAATATGCATGCCCACAAATGCCGGCAAACAAAACAGCGCTGCAACAAACAACAACCATCGGACCGATTCCTGAACGTGGCCTGCTACCGTTAGGATGTTGGCGTGACCCTGCACACCATGCAAGCAATGTGGTAGCCCGACAGAATGACAACATATCAGCATGACACTGTGCCAGCACGATGACAAATCAACACTACGAAAGGACAATGTCACTGTAAAAACATGTTTCCATAATTGCAGAACAGGTGTGATGCTTGTAGTTCACAACTGCGGAACATGCCCTAGAACTTGCCCAAAATTTGACCGTCCCAGAACTTCCTCCAGAACCTGCTCCGGAACCTGTTGCGGAGTTTGCTGCACCGGAACCTACTCCGGAACTTGCTTGGGAAGCTGCACCGAGCTTACCCCGTCCCGAACACAATCACGTAAGGAGACAAGTGAAGAGACAAGGCACAAGCGGCACAGCAGCGGCAAACCAAAACCCGATCACACAGGCAAACGAGGGGGGAGACAGGTAAGGAGACAAGTGGGGAGACGTGACAAGCCAGCAGCGGTGCAGCAGCGGAAAAACAAAACAGCCATCACACAGGCA